GTTGTGCCTTTTGGTGACTGTGGTTTGACCAACAGGAATGACCAAAGTGAAGGTGGGAATGGACGACCCGTCATCTGTAGAGTTTGTGGAGAGAAGAAGAGGCGCTCTGGAGAGGCAAGGATCCACACGTTTCATACAGTGACGTTATTACAGTGATGCACCCATACTCAGAGAGCTGGATCTGTTATCAGTGAAAATGATGCTGATGTATTCAATTACATTCTGTGTACATATACTACATATGTTAACTACTGGAGTTTTTTAGGGTAATTCTCAAGAGCTTTCTCTTCAAATGTACGCTTTTCAGTGAATTTATGTTGATGTATTTATTTGTTTAAAGCAAAAGTCAAGCATGATTGATGTTGCTTAATCAATCATAATCATATTAGGCATTTTTTTAAACATGTGTGTTTTATGTGTGAGTTTTAGGTCACCACTACTTCTTACTCACTTTATCTTCTACTGTCCTTTGTAGATATCTTCAGAGAGTAGTGTCTCACCCATCGTTACTACAGGACCCTGATGTCCGTGAGTTCTTGGAGAGAGAGGAGGTAGGTACTTTAAGTTCTAAACAGATTTGATATTGAAATCATAGACTGTAGGGTTGCAATTAGCTGGATAATGACTTTGGAGTCCTGTCTGTGTTTGTTTTCAGTTACCCAGAGCAGTGAGCACCCAGGCTCTGAGTGGAGCTGGCTTCCTCAAAATGATCAATAAGGCATCGGATGCTGTCAACAAGATGACCATCAAGATGAATGAGTCTGACACTGTAAGGGGACCCTGGGCCCAGTGTTTTCAGGAGACTGTTGTGCATGCATTTTATTGTTCTACCATTGAAATTGTACTCAATATTCACAAACTATTGTGCTGTTGCAATGGCTTAACTTGAAATTATAGCAGGGCAGACAAACCTGCCATTCTAGACATGATGAGGTTGTTTGATTGGGATATTTTGGCTGTGTTTCTCAGTGGTTTGAGGACAAGTTCCAGGAGATGGAAAACGAGGAGCAGCAGTTGAGGAAGCTGCAGGCCGTGGTCGACTCCCTGGTCAACCACAGGAAGGGTGAGCTACATCCGTCTTTCTTCATTTGTCTATTTTATCAAACAGTTTCAATTCAGGAAACAGAGTACAGTTCAGCTGTCAGGTCTTTAATGGTGAAACAGACGGACTGAATATGTTTCTTTTTCAAACCCAGAGCTGTGTGGGAGCACGGCAGTATTTGCCAAAAGTATGGCCATGCTGGGAAACTCTGAGGACAACACGGCCCTGTCCCGGGCCCTGTCCCAGCTGGCAGAGGTGGAGGACAAGATGGAGCAGCTGCATCAGGAGCAGGCAGCCAGCGACTTCTTCATCTTTGCTGAACTGCTGGCCGACTACATCCGCCTGATGGGTGCTATGCGCGTAAGCTCACAGCTGCAGAATAATAGTTTTACAGGACTTTTTAATATAAGATAGAGATTCTTCAGTAGCAGGAAAGCCTGAGTAGTATAGCTTGAGTAGTTCCTAATCCCAGGATTAAAATAGGAAAAAGTGTCAGTTTGTAATGCCTGATATGAAAATCATCTATGTGAGTTTGAAGTATTTTCAACAGAGTGCTACTTTGGTACTTGTGGGTTATCTGTCGCCACTTTTTTATAGCGGGTAGCTGGCTCCTCCACATTAACTTTTTCATTTCTCAAAATAACAAACATTAATCCTAGGGGTTAGGGTTTTTAGAGAGTCTTAAAAAAAAACAAAAAGTGCGTATTTAGAGAGTCTAAAAAAAAAAAAATACTTGCGACAGATAACGTAAAGTACCGCTACTTGTTGTCTGTTTGGTGAGTGTCATGATAAAGTGTTGGGTATTCACAGGGGTGTTTTGACCAGCGTGTGCGGGCGTGGCAGCGATGGCAGGAGTCTCAGAGCACACTCCAGAAGAAGAGAGAGTCTGAGGCCAAGCTGCTGTGGGCCAACAAGCCAGACAAACTGCAGCAGGCCAAAGAAGAGATCACTGAGGTAACAGACATAGAGTGCTGCTGGGGCACTGAACCCCGCCTCAGGCTTTACACCAACACAGGCCCTCTGCATTGAGTTCTTTCACAATGATTTAATTGCTAAATCATAAGGCTAAAGATCATAGTATTTGACCTGAAAGGAATATGAGACCCTATCATAACTGTTAAGCTGATGTAATCATTATTTCTTGAGATTTTAAAGGCAGAAAATAATGATTTTAATTAATTGGTCAACCAAGAAAATGAATAGGGAAATGTGTGAATTGTACGTATTTTAGTTTTTAAATAAAGACACCCTGTCTTATCGGCGTCTGTAGGCATTATAATTGTATGTATTTGTTTACTGTTTCAAAAGTGAATCATGTGTTATAATATCAGCGTTGTTGTAAATATTGCATACTTGAAAATATTAATATATTAATACTTGTTTTCTCCTTATGTTTGTTCTCAGTGGGAGTCGAGGGTTACTCAGTACGAGAGAGATTTTGACAGGATTGGCATGACTGTACGCAAGGAGGTTCTCAGGTTTGAGGTATGTTTGTTTTTATAATAGTTACAAAAAGTAAGTAGGCCATTGGCCCTTAACGAACAGCTCTATCAGGAGACATGTTTCAGCTAGAGGCCTTTATCAGGGCTATCATTAAGCACATTATTAAAACTAGTGCCTCAACAATATAGTATAGTTGTAATAGTAATAGTAGTATAGTTCTGCCAGAGACTGGGTTTTCAATTGTCAAGGAGCTTAAGATATGAAACTTTTCTTTTCAGAAAGAAAAAGCCAAGGACTTCAAGAGCCAGATAATGAAATATCTGGATGCAATGCTGCAGTCTCAACAACGGGTAAACATTTAACTATATCATGTATTTTATTTATCACGTAAACATTACTCAGTGCTCTTTATTTTATTCATGTCTATTTAAGTTTTCCTTTAACTAAAACACATCAAAGTTGTCACCATTACAATTATCATTGTTATTACTACTTCTTTAAAATACTTGTTATAATTAGTATTATTGAAAGCTATTGAGTATTCAATACACATTTTAACTGGCTTTTCATTCTTCTTTTCCATATTGTATTCCAGATTGTAACGTTTTGGGAGGCGTTCCTGCCTGAGGCGAAGGCAATAGCTTAACGAAGAGGGAGACCTTTTAAAAGACCCCAACTGCCTTTTTTGAACACTTTACCTCTTGACCACAAACTGAGAGGACAATTTCGAACACAAGAATCTTCCATCCATTTCTTTTCTTTTTAACCATAGTGTATTCTCTTATCATGTACAGGTCTTTTATATAATAAGCTGCCACATTTACACAACTTTTGTCTGGCATAATTCCTTGTTTATGTTCTTGACTGAAAGATGGTATAAAGCAGGAGATTAACCTGGCCGTAGTATATATTTATGTTTCTTGCTTAATCCGGTGTTGACACTGAGGTACTGCCCTATAGTAACATTGTCTATAGTTTACATTAGAAGATAGACGTATTTAAGTCATTCCAGTCTATAACAGCTTATGTTTGTCAATGCATGTTGGATAACGTTTTGATGCACTACAATGCATTGTACAGTTGGAAAAACAGTTTTTTAATTGAAATACCACTATTGATGACCGAGGTCATTTACCAAGAATATTGGCACATTGTTAGTGTATCACATAATACATATTAGAGCATAGAATTAAAAAAAATCTGAGTTGCTACAAAATGACAAAGAAGTAACGGTGGGTGAAGTTTGAGATAATGCAAAAAGGCTTTGTTGGTATTTTCTACTATGATGTACAACTAGAATCATGTTGATTAATCGATTTCTTCCACACCAGTTTAAAGCACTCCAAAGTAACTCATCTGGACCTGCTGCAGAGATTGTCTACTGCCTGTAAATGACTATTGACATCTATGTATACATGTACAGTACTTTAATTGAATCGTACAATTACTGTCAGATATTATTATTATTAACCATACATCTTTTTGATAAATTTGGTTTAACAATGACAGAAAAGCACAGACATTCAAGTGATATTGTCCTTATTTTTCTTATTCAGCATTTGTAAGCGTAGTTTCTTTTTCACGTCATCTTTACGTAAGAATGTGCTTTATTTTTGTAACCACTTTGCATTAGAACACACATTTTCCTGGAAATATTAAACAGGTAGATGTACAAAATAAATCTGATTGGTTAAGCTTTGGGCAGTTGTTTCATGTTTTCGTGTTGTTGGTGGGATTTCCCTTTTCATAAGTAGCATGGAGGAATTATGAAACAGAAAAGACCCTCTTGCAAAAAAATAACATTTACAATTCCATTGACACCCATGTAGAAACTTTTTGGAGTGTACATTTCTTGATGGTGACAAAATACAGTAATTGCCAAAACGTATTGTGATTGCGCTAAAACAGGAAATATGTAATGTATATTGGTTATGCATGAATATATACATTTAACAAAAAGCCATTCAACATAAACACATATGTAAATTAATTTGTTCTACATTGTGTGTTGTTAAACATGAACTCCCATTTCCACAATTGAAATGGGAGAAATGTCTGGTAAAACAATATAACAAGTACAAGTGAATTTCTTCAGACTTCCATTCTTAAAATATAATAATATAAGTGATCCATGTTATCAAGTATGAAGGAAAATGAAATTAAACTATTCCCTGTTTTCTTTTTTTCCTTTTAAGCACTTGATCTTGTTGTCATGTGGCCTACTATTGCCAAAACAGACAGGTATGCAGTTAGCTAATATGAATCCTCTGGCTTCCAAAAGGAAAACAAAAACAGGGAAAAACAAAAGAAAATTAGTTTCTTTGACCTTTGAAGGAATATTAATTCAGAATGTGCTTTATAGACAAAGTTTCCCTATCAGGAACTTGTAGGTGAATTCCTGTAGGCAGGCTAATATATATCATAACTAAGCAGACTTGTATCAGTCCACTCCTGACCATAGACTCCTGACCCGGACATGTGCGTGCTGGAGCGGGCGGTGCCGTTTTTGTACATCCGGTGTACTCGAACATTTCACGAGCAGCGAAGAATGGAGAGAGCCGCTAACGACAGTCCGCTGTTAGCCTGAAACATCAGTCACAACACCGAGAAACCTTTACATAAAGCTCCGGACAGCTCTGCACACTTCAGGCGTGACATATACAGAAGCCGTGTCCTCGTCTGGATTTATAACAGCGAAGGTGAGCCCGCTGTTTTTGTTTGGGGGGAGCTACATTTGATATTAAGCTTTTGGTTGTTAGCTACTATTTTCGTTGCTAACTGAGCTAATTTCCTTGTTGCGCTCGGTCCAGCTGTCACCTAGCCGTCAGTACGTGGTAGCTAAGGCGTTCACAACAAGCATTTATTTGGTTTCCATTAACCCAATATTATTATTATAATGAGGATATTTCTTTAAAAATATGAAAATATTGTTTAACCAAAGCAGGCACTGTGGCTATGTGATGTTTGGTTAACGCTAGCTTTGTGCAGGTTTTCTTTAGGCAAGCAGCTGGAGAGCTAACTGGGCAACGGTTAGTTAATCGATGTGACCATCACTAATGTCAGGCTTTGTCCATGAGACGTTAGCGTACAACTGCCAACTCGCATCCTTGTTTTGATTTGAGGGCCCACTTACAGGGGATCGATCATCTTTGTATTAGCCTCAGCTGCCTCTGCAAAACACTTCCTCACATACAAAGTGTTACCATTGCTTCTCAGTGCAAGGTAACAGATGTAAAGACAGGCTGGCACAGATTATACAGTTAATTAACCAAGGCCCCTCCTCAGCGTTGTAACCTATCAGTAAACTGTCTGGTGGATGGTATTTTGATGTGGTGCAGATGTTAAATTGTACCTCCCAATATGTTCGTGGTCAAACATGATTGTATGGTCCTATGTTTCCCATCTAAAAGTCCTTTGATATATTAAGGAAACCTTTCACAGCAATGTTTTTCATAGGACAAATGTTCAGTGTGAAGGGAGACCTGTCCAACATGGCAGCAAGTAGGTTACAACATGAACATAAAACAACAGATAACACAAAAGGACATTTATAGGGCTACATGTACATACCTAGAGACATTGACAATGAACCACATTATAGCATACTGATGTTTGACTTCTTAGCATCTACTACACCCTCAAACTAAAAACCCTAAAAACAATGTGTATTAATGTCTTCTCTGTGGTTGAAGGCATTTCTAACGATTGTAATGCCTTTTAAAATATCCATCTCGTTTTGCTCATTTGCCATTTGAACTGAGGGTATCCCTCATCAATCTCTTAAAACAAGGACCTGGGGAACATAGATACACTAACATGAATAGATACACTACCCTTCAATGTAAATGTTCCTTGCTCACCTGCATACGTGGCTAATTACTGAATCATTGGAGTATTCAGTTACCCTTCATGTGGTAAAATAAATGGTTGGGGTCATATTCAGCTAAATAACACAGTGCAAACCCCTTTTGAAGTCATTATATTGAGATATATGTTACTAGCTGGGCGTTAGTCCAAAGTAGAGCTTTGTGGATCCATGATAAATGATGGTTGGCACACTTTAAAAGAGTCTGACTGAATGAAGGGCTGGTATAATAAAGACGTTTCTGTGTTGCATTTATTTAAAATGTCATGATGAAATATAACTTTTAAAATGAAAAAACATACTCTTCACAGGGTATAACTTAGGTATATCCGTATTGAAATAATAATAATAGTAGCAGCGTTAGTCAGTGAGTTAGTTTAAAAACATTTGTCTATTTTGAAGATGTTTGAATCATTTCAGATTTTGCGGGTAGTATATTATTGCAGGTATTGATTTGACAAAGATGTAGACAATGGCTCGTCCTTCACAATGTGTGGAGTATATTAATACTAGTAAACTACCTCAGTGAAGCAAGCTATGAGTTGTCCTTACAAAATCGAAGATATAATCTGATAATATTTCATTTGTAAGATTCATAGACAAAATCTAAGGTAGTAAAATGCAATCATGTCACGGAGGTTGGTGCGTACAACAGCGGAAATTGTATTTGTTTTCTATGAATTTATGGACAAGGAAAACCTTGGATAATCTAAATAACCACCAGCTATGGGTGATAAGAGCTGGCTGAAAGGGGAGAGAGGCATCTGTAAGCTGGCACTGCCACAGTAGGGGTCTTCAGTATTGGCAGCCCCCCTCTCAGGCTGATCTTTCCACTGAAGGTTAATCACTCTACTCAGTGCCTTTTTATATTATTGAAAAAAGAATGTCAACAGATTAGTCATTTCAATGGATGGTATTCAGCGAGAAGCATTTAGCTTTTCCAGATATTTTGGTAGGCTCATTCGTGTTCTATAATCAAGGTCTTTATAACACTTTCAATGCCACCATATTGTGTTACTGAATAAAATATACAAGTAATTATTGCTGAATTTGATAACAAGCTATTAACCAATTACACCTGAACTCTAAATGTTTAGTTTCTGATGATCTGCATCATTAGAGAAACTATTTTGACACGTTTGGTCAGTCAGCCTTGCTGCTTCGGCTTCATGCCAGTGATCAGAAACGTAACAGTTTTGTTTATGTGTATGCTTTGATACAGTATTTCGAAAAAAAGAATAGCTAACACCTTCGTTACAGAATTTCATTTAAACATAAACAATTGTTTTAGAGTGCATGCAGGCCAAGCCAGAGTCAACTAAAATGTCTTTATGAAAATGAGCACTATATCAAACATCAGGCTGTGCCATTGGAACTGGATACCACTAAACGGACCTATTTAACACTTATCTCTATTAAAGCAAAAACACAACTGAAGTTTCCAATTTGAATATGACGTTTAAAATACTGAGCAAACACCAAAAAACAATGATCACTCCAACATGCTCTATTTTTTTCTGGATGAGTAGGAATGTGTTTATTGATAGGGATGTTATTAATGCCTGCACATTGCTAACAACACTCTAATGAGAGACTTTAAACAGTTGTAGGCATGTATGTACCTGTACACATTTGTACTGTAACTGTATAATAGCAACATGCAGTATTTGCAGAACACATTTCAAGCAAGTCTGACAAAACCAATATATCATTGGATATGTGTCTGCTGCGCATGCTGTCTAAAAATAATTGTTGAACAAGAAGGGCAAACAAAGGGTTAATATTAGGATCACTCTGTTATAGGATTTGAATTTGTAAAATCGTTTCATGTGTTCCCCTTCTGAAGAACTAAACTCCCTTTTTTAAAGCATGCCAAAAGGTGTGTATTCTCAAACATATCCTCATTTATCAGGAGACACTGCGCCTCCGCACGGATAAAGGCTGGGGGTTCCCCATGTTGCAAAACTGAAGAAGCCATTTGTAGAAAACACAGGACGCCTGAATGTGTTGTTCACTTTGTTAATTAGGTAGTTGACTAATGTGAATGTACACAGACTTGCTCCATAGCATGTCTTGTTTACTTACACAGAGAAGAACATACAGGGACACGTTATTCCAACAAATCTGATATATGTTTTAATAACAGAGGAAAGAATACACAAGTAAAACAACAAATAACACCTAGAGCCTCGTAACGGCATAATGCGATATGCCTTTTGTTGTTGTTTGTAATTAAAGGTTGGAATTGTTTTGCCTTATATCGTTTGAATGAAGTTCTTGTCCTCATGTTACCCCATCCTAATCCTCAGGTTAGGCATGTCTGAACATGTCTGACAATACAATGTGGATGTGGTCCTACTCGCATTTCAAACGCATAAAACAGGCAGAAAAACTGTACCATCCGTTTAGTAATGTTGTTATAATGTCATACTTCTCATACTTCTCGTACTTTTTCCAATTTGACAAGGAAACACTTCTTAAAGGTAAGCTTGCTTTTAATTTGCCCCAAAGGAACCAGAGTAGCCTGATGTCAGCCTTGTGTGTTGCATTAGCTGCTTCAAAACTACCCTCGTGTTCCAAAACAAGATTTAAGTATATGGTAGATGTTAGTATGATGATTATAATGGAAATGAGGACATCTCTCTTTATTTAGACACAAAAGCACAGGAAATGACTAATGAGCAACAATGTGACTACAATGTCTGCTGAGCAGTTTGAATCAATCATGCCTCTCTTCTGGAAAAGAATTACCCACACCCAAATACAATGACACATTACACTCGTATTATTGTAATAACAACTTGGTATACATTGGAAGTTAAAAGCTGTGTTTAGCATCTCCACAAGCTGAACAGCAGTGTCAGTAAGTGTGTGTTTATAATCCTGCTCCAACAGGGTTTGTGTGTAAAGTTGGTCTTCAATCAGGAGCTGAGCTAATCCAGACCAGCGTGGCCCACAAATGAGTATTTGCACGATGGAAACTGTTACAGCTCACTTTCTGTCGGAGCTGCAGACCTGTTTTATAGCCGTGTTGTTCTGTTCCTGGTTTTATGTAATAGCAACAGTGCTCGGTTGCCCTTGAGAGCAAACTAGCTGTCTTTGATGCTGAGATGTGTGCAGGCAATACTGAGCATGACTCATCCGGAAGCCCACACACAAATACTTCAGCAGCAGCCTTTCCATGCTCGGGAATTACAGCATTGTCATGAAATCATTAGTGGCTTTTTTTATTGAAAGAAGGAAAAGGTTTTGTTTGTAATGGTAAACATTAGACTTTTAAATGCATTTCTTTGGGTAAATAATCAGTGAAACCGGAATTCCTCCTGATTTACGGACAGCATTGAGACCCCAAAGGCCTGCAGTTCATAAACATCATACATCTTTTTTCTTAGTGATTCCTAAATCATAAACAGCCTAATGTTTTATGGTCACATCGTTTAATATCTGCAGGGTTCTTGTCAGTGGTAGAAAGGGGGTTGTTTTAACTCCAAATGATTTGAGCGCTTGGCGAAAGCCGACCAGTGTCCATCAAGTTAAGCTATGGTGTCCCTGCGAGCAGTCGTAGCTTTATATAATTGTTTACATAATAATCCCAGTGTCTGCCAGGCTCTAGCTGTGGGTGGTGAAGATGCCTTCACGATCCTCACAAACTATGACTTAAGGTTTGTGTTGATGTTCAGACTGTTTACTGGTGTTGTCTGTGACCACTGGGCCTTGATGACTATCTCTTTAGCTCAGCAGCAGTGTTACAGTAAGCCAGTGCTGTCCTCATTTAGACCTGTGTACTTGCAGTAAGACATTATATGACTCATGACCTTCAAATATAAATTAAACTTGCAATGTTAGGGATAAGTTAAATGAAGGAAAACATTTCTAAATATGTCTTAGGAAAGCTTTCGTATTACTTGTCACTCCATTGTTGTTCCTTACCAATATAAACATTTTACACTGAAACCTTGTGTAAGAGTTCAGAAGAGCAACTGGAGCCTTTTCCCAATTTTTAAAATCTAACGTCGTCTAGCCAGTGTTACATCCCTCCGTGCCTCACTCGTCTGCACTGCACGATTTGCCCCCTGACTGAACTCTGCTGAGATGAGCACAGATCTTTATTTGACTATTATTGAACATTGAAGCCCGATTCAGTTCCAGGTTTATTTAACTGTATTGTGTTTTCTCCCTGTGAGGCAGGTTTTCTGTTAACTCAAATTGGATCAAATGTGTCTGTGTGAAACTACTTTAAATTGATGTTTGCAATGCCAGTGTTTTCAATGTGCTGCTAGTTTTAGGAATGTCATTGTATGGTTACTATTGTTATGCTTATGATAGTTGTTCTGCTCACTAAAAGATCAGCCTAAATGATGTTCTTCAATCCAATTTTCTTTTTCAGGATTTTTTCAGATTAACATGGGAGACAACGCTTAGATCCGCACTACCATGTTCCATGTGCTGTGTGTGGAGAGTTAATATCTTCTCTCTGTCCCATGTTGTGCCTTCCAGGTCTTTCACCTTCTCCTTCCTGTGACAGATGTTGAGGCCAGAGATCAGCCTGTCCTAACAACTGTGAGGTGACAGGGTGAGGACAGGAGGAGTGTCGGTCAGCTGTGCCAGGTTTTGTCTCATGAGAGTCACTGTGCCACCCAGGCACTGCCAGTGACCGGGCTGTGGCTGTGGAGGGCCCGGCCCAGGAGGCCTTTTTCTACATCACTCCGGGCTCCTGCTGACCTGTGCTGCTCACACCATGGATCAACAGAGAGATAAATATGGCGAGCGGCCCGCCAGGAGCACTAAAGTTTCCCAGGGAAGCCGCAGCGGACACTCGTCCCGACCATCCGGCTCCTCCAGTTCGTCCGGGGTTCTCATGGTGGGGCCAAACTTTCGTGTGGGCAAGAAGATCGGCTGTGGAAACTTTGGGGAATTGAAGCTTGGTAAGTTGAATCTAAATCTTGTATTCAACAAACTCCATTTATATGAATCAGGGTAGACTAAATACATCTCTCACTACAATGCAAGACATTCCTAAAATGACCATATATTTAACCAAAACCGCTTAAAACAGTTAGATAAAAATGGAACTTTCAGATTTGTAAGTATAATTGCATGGAAAGTGAGTATATTCACACTTTTTTTTTCTTTTTTCAAAAAGGAACACAATTAGACAATTTTCTGTAATATAGACCTCACAAAAATCTTCAGTCACCCAGACACAATCACCTGCAGAGTTTCTTATTCCCTGCTGACGCAGTTGTAAAGTTGTAAGTGGTGTACTTTATTTTTAAAAGCCTTCTAAGCCATCCCTCCTTTTTATTTCAGGTAAGAATCTCTACACCAACGAGTATGTAGCTATTAAACTGGTAAGTGCACACTTTATTTCACTGCTTGATTCCCCACGTCTTCTGATTTCCTTTGCTAAATGATAGAGTAAATTCAGTTTCATAGATGCATAATGAAGCACTTGGTTAACCTATTGCCACTTTGGGTTGATTATCAGAAAATCTGAGGCTTTGCTCCGGTAGGTCAGTGGGGTTTTACTGGACTGTTTTGGTCTTTGATAGAAATGTGAATGAGATGTCTGTCTTCCTCATGGCTGCTGGACTAAAAACCATGACTCATGCATTTATTGTTCACCAGAGGGTGGTGAAAACAGTATCTACACTAGTATTTAGTTTACTACGGCAAACAGTTTCCAGTTGCTCAAATAGCAGACACATATGCAGTGCTTTTATATATTGAAGAATGTTTTTTACAACATAAGTGAACTAGAGATACGTTTTAGAATTGGGTGGGGCAAGTTATTTTTCTAGGTGACTTTGAATGGTATATTTCAATAGATTATTATTAAAAAAATATTGTGTGTATTTAATATTATATTTACCAGACTAAATGGGATGTTTTGGTGGTGTTTAACTTTGGAGAAAGACTTGAGTTTGAGTTTAGAAGAAGCTTGGCCAAAACATGAGAGACTGACGGTAGTTTTTTTTAGGGTGACTCGCATAGTGGAGGAGTCCGCCATCTCCTTTTACACATTACTAGGGATGTAACGATATATCGAATATCACGGTAAATAAATGTCTCAATACCTCTCTTCTTTTTTTTTTTTAAACCTTTATTTAACCAGATGGTCCCATTGAGATCATCGATCTCTTTTTCAAGGGAGACCTGTCCAACATGGCAGCAAGTAGGTTACAACATGAACATAAAACAACAGATAATACAAAAGGACATTTACAGGGCTACATGTACACACCTAGAGACATTGACAAGTACCGACAGTATATTTATATCTCGCCCTGTCAATAAGCCTCACCTTCTTGGCAAAAACTGTATTGTTTTTGAAGTGGTGGAGAGACAATGCACAGTTTGACCCACTGCTGTCACCCATGGCCAAAGCATATCTCTCTGTCCCAGCAACATCAGTACCAAGCAAGAGAGTTTTTTCCACAGCAGGGGATTTTGTAAACGCCCAAACATCCCAGCTTCTACCTGGAAATGTGGACATGCTCATATTCCTAACAGATAACCTTAATGATGCTGAGTGAGTGAGTTAGAGTTGAGTTACTTGAAAAACTAAAGTGAAACTTGATTTATTCTATTGCAGGGTCTGATTATTATATTGTTGACACTTTAAAATACTACTATCCTACTAAAATCCTGTACAAATCAGATTTATTATTTAATAAAGGAAAAAAAATTCAAGTAAAAAAAAAAAAAAATTCACACTTTTTTCTTTATTTTTCAATATCGCGATATATATCGCACCGTGGACTTTTTATTAGTTTTTGGTATCGTTACATCCCTACACATTACTGATTTGACGGTTTTAATCCCAGGTTCAGATTATGCACATATTTGAAGTTTTATTCGAAGAAAGAATGGCTGGTCACCCTTGTGAAAAACTGACACCCAAATCAGCATTCATGACAATGTTTGTGCTGCTAGTGCCAGTTAGTTTGGCTGACCTGCTAGTGTTACATGGCGAGAGAGTTGTCCTGGTACATCCTAAATTCATGAGCCAGCATCAAGTGAAAGATGAGTCATCAAAACAATTTCACACCCTTCTTAAAGGAATTCTATGTTGTTTTCTGTTTCAGTTTTGTCATTGTTTTAATCCAGTTTAAAGGTTATTTTCATTAACCTGGTACTGGTTTGAATGTGTCCACTGTGCAGGAACCAGTGAAGTCGAGGGCACCACAGTTGCATCTAGAGTACCGGTTCTACAAAACACTGGGAACTACAGGTAAGGTCACAGATATACCTCTCCTGGTGTTTTGATGTGGCTGTATGGCAATGATTTGTCTGTTTTGGAAGATCAGCCAAGAAGATTACATCATTTCCAAAACATGTGCTTACTCCGCTCAGGTTACGTATTGATATTAAGCTGCGTCAGCAAATTATTTTAATCTCCAGGACTTTGTGTACATGAGTGCATCGATGCCAATGTGCCATGTGTCATTATGAAAGATGGTGACATAAAGAGTCTTATTCATAGACCAAACAGATGCAGCAGCTGATGATTCACTGAAACACTTCCTTATTGTTATAGAGGAAAGAATTGCACACTATTTGAGAAGGTAAATTATTCAGGGCTGTATGTCTGTATATTAGTGGTGTGCTGTCGACAGCAGACACATGTGTGCTGAAGATAACGTAAACATCTTTTGAATTATTTGCGGACTCAGCTTGGGTCTGCATGGGTTCAGTCTTCATGTGTTGGAATATGTTTATATGTACATAATGAACAACTACATTTAAAATATAGGCAAATCAATGTTTTTACACTGACATATTAATACTGTGTTAGGTTGACGATTGGCAAACTTGTGAGCAAACAGTTGCTTATTTACACATTCAGCAGTTACACAGCAACATTATCATTCATTCATCGACACCTGGTGCGTCACTCTCCATGTAGCTCTGTTTTTTTGGTCAACCTCAACTCTCGATGGATTTATCTAGCTAGGTGGTAACTTTGTCCATTTTGACAAAAAGTTCCATGAACTATGGAACCAGAGGGACTAATCTAAGACCTAGACGTCTCTATTGCACATTCCTATTTGCATTTCCATCATGTGCAGTTAGGTGCTGACATTGTTTGTCTACCAGCCAAATGGCAAGTGGATTTTTTTATTATACCAGCTACTAGATCACAATGTTTTTTTAGCCTGGTAAGTGGTGGAAATCTAGAGCAACATGAATATTTAACCAGCATTTAATGATTCTCTGAAGTTTCGTCACTAAGAATGAGCCCTTTCACATTACACAGTCATTTGACCCATCTCAGTATATTGATTTTAGTCTGAAGCAGGCCTATACAGTATGGTGTCACTTTGCTGCGTGTAGCAAAGGAATTCACTTATGTGATTAGCCTTCGTCTTGTTAAAACATCCGGGAACTGTTGACTTCAAACTGCTGTCATTGCATGAGGCTAAATGATGTGATCAAAGGTTGACACTAATACACATCACCGTATTATATTTAATATGCATGCCATAAAACTTTGCAGATATCAGTTGCCTAATATCTTCATGGTCACTTAATATCAATGCCTGTTATTTCCATTTTAGTGCAATACCAGTCTGTATTCGGTGCTCTTTATTCGTTTTGGTTCGATTAGTCATGCCAAAACAACTTCAACCTGAATGTCTAAACTGTAAACATTTAGATCTTGATCTGTAACGGTAAATCCTGAAATCCATTACATATTTATTTTAATCATTGTTCTAAGGTTTTATGTTTTTTTCAAACATAACGGTCATTGCAATAGTTGTTCCCCTGCACTGTCTGATGTTGAAATGGGGTCGAGTAGTGATGTCTACAATTACAGTACAAACACTGACATAACTGCTTGTCTTTTTTCAGATCCTCATATTGTTATTTTGTTGGAGCCGTGCCCTCAACGGTTTGTTATTCTGTGTTCAGAATGAAAAACAATACAATACAAGCTGCTCCATAGACTTTTCTTCCCATTGCTCCCCTGAGAGTTTATCAGTTTGTCATAAAAGATTAGTCAAGGTCTGATGATGCATCACTGTTACTGACAGGAATCTTGTGAGGATGAAATGAATACAACGGAGAAATAAATGAGGGGAAACTTTTTTCACATGGTACAAGAGGAAATGGGTGGGAACGCTAGAAACCATGGAACAATAGAAAATATTTTTGAAATAGTTTTGCGTTGCTCTTCTGGTGAAGTGGTTACATAATAATGTAAGCATTGCCCTGATTGTCACTTGGATATACCTAGAGTGGCGCTAGTGATTGATAATCATGTTGCTTGTGAATTTCCAAAGAAAATGGTTTAATAACAGTGATACAGTTTAGGGGTGGTCAGTCACATTGTGGCATGGAAGATAAAAGGCAAATTTTTGTGATTTATGGTCCTTGATGTTCTTTTTGGATCGCTACACACGCATATATGATAACCAGACTGGGAATATAATGGCTATTGTTATGCAAAGGCAAGGGCTGGAAAAGGCCAACTGTGCGGAAACTCATTAAATATTTAGAGAGTGGGTCTGCCTCTCTTAGTACTAACCTGCCTCTGTCCTCGCCTCCAGATGGGATGATGTGACCTCCATTTCTTCTTGGCTGTGTGTTGTGCCACATTCCTCCCAGCCAATGTGGTTGTCCCAGTGTCTGTGCGACAGGGGCTTTATGAATAAATGTGGTTCGACTCAGATGTTCCATCAGGTGTCGTATCCAGTGCATAGCCGACTGTCACTGGTTTTAATGAGGACGATTCAATTAGGAATTAGGATTTTCCTTCCTGATATGATGGGAATATTTATCATTGCAGTCAATAACAGCTTCAAGCTGCTTTGGTTTTACAAGCCTGCAGACTGAGGACTTATTTAGCTGAGGACACAAGATGGTTTTGAAGATCAAGAGGGTTTTGTTCAAGGGTGGGCGGCCACTATTGAGCTGTGAAAAGAATTGGCAGTCAGAGCTGGCCATGAAACACTACACCAGCTCTGTGACCATTGCAAACCCAAAGAGTAAACATTTCCCACAGTGACAAGGCGTACTACATGTATATTTTGCAGACATGTAAAGAAAAGGCCAGCAGCACATCAATAATTGTTAAGAATAGAACTTCTCTCATGGCACTGTTTTTCAGAAAATAAGCTAGAGAGCATTGTTTTTGTTGGTTTTTTAGATTCTTATCAGTTGTTAAGAAATGTATCTTAAAGATTATAACAACTGCAGCAACAGGGATGTTAATAAATACAGTATGAATTAGTTTTTAGCAATGTGACATTTAATAATTCAACTTTATCTAGGTGAATACTGTATAAGGTAATGTAATAATTCACCTTTGCAACACGGCCAGTGATTTATGAGCACTCAAGAAATGTATTCTGTATATCTTTAAAAAAGACAAACCAGCCCTTTAGTAGTCTTTCTACATGTTATAAAGGATTGCACATTAAAAATGTTGATTTGTTTTTGTTTAAAGGCCTGACAGTTACTTGTGGTCGCAGTTATGCAGTGCAGTTTTGCAAAGCAGCCACAAAATGTAAGCGTGCCAGCAAATACGCATGTCAGAAAGCCGGCTCAAATCCTCAAAAGTTGAAGCTTTCTGAAGAGCCAACTCAGAACCATGAAGATCTCGTCTGTCTCCTTATACTACTTCTTTAATACACACATGTATTCACATACCTGTCATAAATCTACATTGCGAAAATCCATCTATTCAGCTATCTCTAAACTATCGCTAGACTGACACACATACTAGTATGCACATTATTTATATATATATATATATATAGTAAGAACAACTAATTCACACCTACAGTTTTTAATTTAGAGTCACGAATTCACCTAACCTGCATTTCTTTGGACTGTGGGAGGAAACCCACACAGGCACGAGGAGAACATGCAAACATGCAAACTCCACAAGTATCCCAGTATCATTTGTGTTGTTTTAAAGGCATTTGATGGTGCCAACTTGCATGAAGGAATCAAATATAAATAAGTTTATGCTTAATCTTAACTTTTCCTGCATCCCACAATGTCACATTGTTGGTAAATATTGATAACAGAACAACTACCACCAGACAGTCACAATAAAACATTGAAGGTCAGGGGCCTCATTTATAAAGGGATATACGCTCAAAAAATGGCCTATGCCAGTTTCTACGCAATGTTTGCGATTTATAAATTACTAACTTGACGGGAAAACGTGCGGTCCTCCACGCAAACTCTAACCCATGCGTACGCACTAAGCACACAAACGGCAGAAGGAAGAATGGAGAGAAATATGTGGAAATAATACCATAAATAAAACGTTACCTCTCATTTATCATATATGAAGAATTCATTTTCAAACATTGATTAAAGCCAATCTTAAAATGATTAAACAAACGCCTGTTTGAGACTCCTCAGTGTACACAAAAACACAACTTGGAGAAATAAATAAATACGGATATGTTATTTAAAACCACCTCGAATATGTTGTGTTAATGTTATGGAATGTTTTCTCATAAATGATGCGGTAAGCAGGAGGACAGAATTACTTTAAACTGACGCCGTGTTGCATTTCTATAGGTTGTAGATACGAGCATGGTTTTATATACTATCACGTTTAATCGTGTTTTATGCCGTTTGCTAAGACTTGATAAGTCGCTCGTAAAACACAGGAGGTATGGAAGCTAAGAACACCATATGTAGTAAATTGTACAGCTAATATAACACAACACATTAGTTGTATTTCCTTTAACTGGTGGATATATAGGGTTGCTGCGGGGGGGGTTGAGACGCACAGGCTGCAGTGGTGACGCTGCGCACAGCTGATCGACAGCTGGAACACAAACCACCAAATACAAAAACATAATTCAGATCCAGTCGTCATGACTCCACTCCGGAGGGATTCCCCGATCACTTCTTACAGTCTCTCATCAAGGGGGGGTCTCCTGTCCCCGGTACAAACACACTGCCTGAGGAAGGCTATGTGTATTGTTTTTGTCATTAACCTTTTTAGGGCCATTTATTTATTTATTTTGGTGACGATCCGACCTCCATGCTGCTACTCTGGTTCAAACTGCATCCACCAAACAATATGATTTATCTCGACCTCCCCAAAATAACCAAAATCTGACACGGTGTGAGATGTATTTTTTAGCTGTTCTGTCGTCATTTCCTGCGATCTTCTTCATAAAGTCAGTCAGAATGAATGAATGAATGGGCGTTTCTTTGACTATTTATAGGCAAATATGGGCGTTACGTGAAGCCCGCAAA